GCAATCCCACCAATGGTGTATCGGCGTGTCTAGTTCTACATAGCCTCACCATATACTTTGTTGTTGAACTTTGGGATTTATTGTCCATCTGATAGGCAAATATCTCAGTGTTATTTTAAATGCATCTCTCTAAAAATTATGAAGGGTAGTGTATATCTTTCCATATGTTTTTAAAGTCCATTTAAGTGTTTTCTCCTGTAACTCTTTTTTATGTTTTACAGTATTAAAAAAGTTGTGTTTTGGGTCTTCCCCTTCCTGCCCCATATTTAGGAGCTTACTCTGTCACCCAGGCTAGAGTGCAGTGGCACCATCTCAGCTCACTGCAACCTCTGCCTCCCGGGTTCACGTGATTCTCCTGCCTCAGCCTCTCGAGTAGCTGGGATTACAGGCGCCTGCCACCACACCAGGCTAATTTTCAGTATTTTTGGTAGAGACAGGGTTCCACTATGTTAGCCAGACTGGTCTCAAACTCCTGACATTATGATCCGCCAGCCTTGGCCTCCCAAAGTGCTGGGCTTACAGGTGTGAGCAACTGTACCTGGCCATATTTAGGAGCTTTTTAAGTTTTAGAGGTGTTAGCACTTTTGTCTTAAGTTTTAATTTTTTTTCCAGTTTGCCATTTGTCTTTTGGCTTTATTATGGTGAGGTGTGTGTGTGTGTGTTTGTGTGACATTTAAAAATTTCATGTACATTGATTTCCCCTTTTATTGTCTCTGGATTTTGAGTCTCAGCTAGGAAGGTTTTTTCCCATTTCCAGATTATAAAAGAATTCACTCATATTTTCTTCTACTACTTGTACAATTTCATGGTTTATATTTAGAACTCTGCTCCTTGGTTTTATTCTAACATAGTGTGAAGTATGGATCCAATTTTATCTTTTTCCAGACATCTCTTCACTTGTTCCAATGCTTGTTCTCACTGATTTGGTATTTATTTCTGGACTTTCTCTTCTGTTTCATCAATCTGTTTAGTCATATACGAGTACCACCATGTATATGACTATGTATAGGTGCCCAAAGGTGCTACTTTATTTTTTGATCAGAATTAAGTAAGAACAACAGTTAAAGATCACCCTCATCTAATTCATTGGGTCCCTCACCACTCACACCAAATAGAAGACTTGTGTGATACATGTTTGTTTCAATGCATGACATAGGTGCTCTTTGGTCCTATATTCGTGAAAAAAGTGTTGAACTGGTAGTCAGGGAGCAAACTCAGCTTTTAGTACCACTTCTAAGCAAGTCACTTGCTTTCTCTGGTCCTGTTTTCTTAGCAGTTAACAAACAAAAGGAGTTGAACCAAATGGTCTTCAGGGTTGTGTCTGACTATGGTTAATGCTGTTCTGGTTAAGAGCACCACTAGTATATGGTGCGAAGTTTAATCTACCTTTTATTCTCCTGTGCCTTGTTCTTTTGCAGTATTCATGAAGTAGACTTTCTCTTTTGGATCCTAGTTCTTTAATCTTTTTCTCTAAAATACGTTCTTTGTTCCAGCATTTTCTTTTGTCCTGTATTTATTAGCATGTGTCTTTTCCTATTGATTAAGCAATGATCGCCACTGTTTGACTGCTTAGCTTCCACTGACCTCGATGGGGAAAATTACATGCAGCTAAATGTGACTTCTTCCCCCAGTAAAGAATTTCTTATTA